CACGATTTTGCAGTGTAATCCATCATATGAGTTCTGTATGATATTGACTATCTTCTGAGGCACGCCGTAGTGTCGAAGAAGTTTCCATAGTGTTGTTATGTCCACGCTATCAAATGCCTTTTCGTAGTCAATGAAGTTGATGTAGAGTGATGAATTCCATTCAATACATTGTTCCACAATGATCCGTAGAGTTGCGATTTGGTCTGTACACGATCTATCCTTACGGAATCCTGCCTGTTGGTCACGAAGTTGGGCGTCTACGCAGTCCTTCATCCTGTTTAACAATACCCTGTTGAAGACTTTTCCCGGTATTGAGAGAAGAGTGATGCCCCTGTAGTTATCACACTTGCTGAGATCGCCTTCCCCCGGTATTTTGATCAGAAGTCCTTGTTTCCAGTCTGTTGGTACTTGTTCCTCAACCCAAATCTTATTGAAGAGAATGTGGAGTATCCTTGCAGTTGCCGCTACGTCTGCTTTTAGTGCCTCTGCTGGGATGTTGTCCGGTCCTGCTGCTTTGCCACTCTTGATTTGTCTGATTGCCATGCTGATTTCTTCAGTTGTTGGCGGGCCAACATTAATTGGGAGGTCCGTGGGTGCTGCTTCGATGTTGGGTGGGTTCGGTGGGGCTGGTCGATTCAACAGTTCTTAGAAGTGTTCTACCCACCTGTTTTGTTGCTCTTCAATGTTGGTGATTACCTTGCCTTCCTTGCTTTTCACTGGTCGCTCTGGTTTGTGGCGATTTCCAGAAAGTTTCTTTGTCGTGTCATACAATTGTCTCATGTTTCCTTCTCTTGCAGCCTTTTCCGCCGTCGTTGCTAAATCTTCCACATATTTACGTTTGTCGGTTCTGATGCTCCTCTTCACTTGTTTGTTTATTTCCGTGTATTCAGCTTGTGCCTTGGCTTTTTCTGCTCTTGTTCGGCTGGTATTGATCGCTGCCTTCTTGTTCCTCCTTTCTTGAATCTTATCCAGTGTACCAACAGTGATCCATTCCTTATGGTGGTGCTTCTTTTGACCCAGGACCTCATGGCATGTTGAAGTGATTGCCTCTTTGATCCCCTTCCAGTTGCTCTCCACAGTAGTTCCTTCTCCATTGAGTAGATCATGAAAGGCCTGGAACTTGTTGCTGAGGACTATCTTGAATTTGTTGAGTTTGTTAGTATCCTGGAGAAAGGCCGTATTGAACTTTTGTGATACTGTCTGCCCCGTTGTCCAGTGCTTCTTGAGTTTCAATTTCATCTTGGCGACCAGTAAGTGATGATCTGATGCTATATCAGCTCCTCTCTTGGTTCTCACGTCCTCTATAGTCCTCCTGAACGTTTTGTTGATGCAAATATGGTCGATTTGGTTTTGTGTAGAGTGATCAGGTGAAGTCCATGTGATTTTGTGTATGCGTTTATGTGGGAATATGGTGCCGCCTATGACCAGCTTATTGAAGGCACATAGATTTGCAAATCTCTCACCATTTTCGTTTCTTTCTCCCAGTCCGTGTCGTCCCATGGTGTCTTCATATCCGGTGTTGTCCGTTCCAACCTTGGCGTTGAAATCTCCCATCAGAATGGTCAGGTCCTTTGTTGGGCACTTCTCGACTATTGACTGCAGCCTATTGTAGAATTGATCTTTAGCGTCTTCATTGTAGCCGTTGGTAGGCACATAGCATTAGATTATGTTCATTGAAATGCCCTCTTTCTTTGTTTTAAACGAGGCTTTGATGATCCTTGGTCCATGAGATTCCCATCCTATAAGTGCATTTTGCGCTTGTTTGGACAGCATCAATGCAACTCCCTGTGTATGTGGTGCATTTTCTTCTTCATGGCCGGAGTATAACAGGAGCTCTCCTGTAGTTAGTCGTTGTTGTCCAACTTGCTTCCAATGTGTTTCACTGATCCCAAGTACCTCTAGGTTGTATCTTCTCATTTCTGCAGCAATCTGGAAGGCTCTTCCGGTGGTACACATCTAGGTTAGAATAAATAAAAAATATGTACTTTATCAAATTAAGCCTAAGTTATTTATATGACATTATTAAATGTTACTCTCCTTCCTAAGATAAATATATATGTGACCATAGAGAGATAGAAAAAAGTGCAAAATATCCTCATGAAAATAATTTTATTTTTTAGATCATCATTGTTATATTAGAATTAAACGAACTAAAAAGTACACGCTTCAACTGAAATTATCCATAATTATACTCATTAAGAAAAAAAAAGTAAAACAATGTCAACTTTCTTCGTAATACGTTTTTAACCACATATTTTTCATGATGTACCTTATCGATGCTTTTCAGTCATAGTAATTGTATAAATGTAACCTAACCGAGCTTCGAAGTAGACAATAGACATACCTTACTATATTATTTTTGAATTGTTTTCTTCAAATAAATAACAAGATAATTAGTGGATACTATTAGATATGTGTTTTAAACAAAAAGGTCACCGAGTTCATTTCTTGCCTTGCTAATATCGATCATCAAGTTAATAATATGATCAACTGTTATATGTATAAATTAAATTTTGAATGGGTTGCTATAAATATGAGTTCAGTCAAAATAATATATACTCCTACTAAAGTATGAAAGTGATATTCAACAATCAAGAACACTGTTATTTCACATATTGTGTTATAAAGTAAATATTGGTTTATTGTGAACTCATCTTATTTTCGTTTGGTTGTTTTCTTTTGTTGTTATACTGATGATTGATTTTCTTTGAGGGGGGGGGGCCAAATAGTACATTTATTCATATTATAAAAAGGAAAAATATGTCTTAATAAAATCTAAGAAACTATCGATGTTAAATACAACAATAGAATAAAAGAAATACGGTAAAATACTGAAATTTATTATTTTTATTATCAAGTCATATGACTTTTAATGTACTTTCTAACCTTAATATGCCATCAATTTTATGCATTTATTTGCTTATATATATCTGTTTCTCCTAAGAACTTACATGAAAATTTTATTTCTCTTCTAAAAACCAATTGATATCTTCTAATTCATAACAGTATTCTTCACAGATGTAAATAAATTTCAATAATTAAAAATGTGTAATAAATAAATTTGATTGTATTGGATATGAAAGAAAAGTTTAACTAAATACTTGGTTTTTTTCTCAGTAGACAAAAACAGTTTCGAGTTTCAATTGATATTTCCACTATCTTATACTATCTAAACAAAATTAAATGGATTAACTACAATAATTTACCAACAATATTAACTTAAATAGATTTCTTGTAGAATTTCTCGAATGTCTTGGAGTTTATGTGTGAAACTTTGAAACAGTGAGCTGACCAGATCAATATCCTTTTCAGAAGCTAGTCAGGTGGTTTTCTTTAAGTTGCTGTAGGGTAAGAGTTGGTGCACATAAACCTATCAAGAAAATAAGCAAAGATTCATAATCACGTTATCTAGTTGACAGAAAGCTACACTGCCAAAATACTCATTTTGTATGGAAAAATGAAGTCTAGTTAATCGTTCAGTTTTGCGACTTAGCCTGTAGAGATTTGCATTTTTTATTTAGTATTACTTTCAGCTTTCGTACGGATTTCAGTCAATGGCCAGTAGCATAACATGCCTATTTACGGATTGGTTGACTTATAATGTTGATTTAACAAACGCTAATATCTATAAGTACCCGAAAGTTTCTGTACATTTTGATTCTTGCCCAACAAGTACTTTCTCCGGTCTTCTGTCTTATTTGCGACTTGGAAGGTTCTGGCGTTCGAGCGCTCAATTTATACGCGGTATATCTAAGCTCTAGATATAACACTTACATATATATGTATATATTTGATTACTATAAGTACCAGGAAATAAAAACTTACTTATAGTTTACCCTTTATTGAAGTTTCTTTATAACAACTAAATTCCAAAATGAATTTTTCCTTTAATCATATTAATGAAATGAACTTAGTCTGTAACAACATAAAGAGATTGATCTGTTTTCATGGAATTAATTTTTAACTCGCTAGTGAAACTTTCATTTTGATACAATGAAAATAAATCACTGTTAGTTCATTTTAATTGTTTCAATGAAGTTTGGTGTTTAATTGTGTGGAAAATTATTTCTGTACATTTATTAATTATAAATTTCAAGCTGAAAAATCAAAACTGGACTGATAATGATGTTGATAGATTGCTACCATATTAACTAATACACGTAGATAACTTTTCACTTTATAAAATCATAGTAAAACGTAACCATAAATCAATAACTTTTCAATTAGTTTCTCAATAACATTTGTCCACCTAAATAGATTTATCATTATTAATTTTCATAAAATAGTTCTAAAAAGCGACTACTTCAATTGAAGTTATTCAGATAGGATATGCTTCAAGTGGCCTAACAGGAATAGTATTAATAATAATACGTAATAATAATGCGTTGTGGATGAAATGAAAATTTGACTAAATACACAAAATCAGATTGCACTTAGTCTTTCAATATAAAATGCAATACTACTGGGTAAAACAAATGTTATGGTTGTGAAAGGTGAAAAGTCAGGGAAGTTGTATAACAGTTTTCTTCAAATCTTGAAATCAAATCTACGTAAAAGTTATCAAATTTTATTCGAAAATTTTACTGATAACAAGAAGAAAGATAAAAAAAATACACACTAGAAGCAAGTAACTGTTGTGTGACACAACTTAGGCTGAAGACAAACAAAGGTTATCGAACAATAAAACATTCCAATTCAATGGGAATACACATTGTGAATAATCTATGTTAATCGGTGGTCAATTGAAAATGTAATATATTATTAGTATCTTTTGTTCATTCACTTCTAGTCTCATTACTTTAATTCGGACTGCACTGGCTTTATTCCTCAGATCATATCTATTATTTAATAGCTTAATATTGAACTTCATTAGTTGAGATGTTTTACTATTAAGTGAAACCATTTCCTTTCAAAATAATAACTTTTTGAGTAAATATTAATAAAGATTTAGAAATAATATCAATAACTTTATATCATATTTGACTTCTTTTCATATAAAGGACTTGGGTTGTTCAACTATATCACAGGCACTAGCTTCACCTTGTTTTTCATCCGAAATACTCAATTCAGATGAAAATCAACGCGGTTTAATCCGACTGTTTTTATCAGAAAATATGATAACCAGATCAAGTATGAATAAATTGGCAACTGGATTAATACGCTGCACACGTTTAACAACGTTACAATTATCTGGCAACTTAAATATTGGCTCTTCCGGTTTATTTGATTTAAAGTCAAGTCTTATCAGTTGTCCATGTTTAAAGCGTTTGGGTATTGCATTTTGTGGTATTGATCATGATGGTGCAGCATGCATTACAGAGATATTATTAAAAACAACATCTCGTTTCAAAATAATAGATCTGACAGGAAATCCTATCGGCATAGAAAATTGTTTAGCATTATTAAACTCTTCAGCTTATTTAGATGAAAAAGTTAGAATAATAGGTTTAGGTAAGTTTGATCTTATTTAAATCATATATCAAAATCTATATGAACGTGTACACAAATACTTATGTTTAATTGTGTTTTAGAGTTTCAACCATCATCGTTAATGCAATATGCAAGACAGTTATCGGAAAAAGAAAATAATAGTCTTTTGCATCAGAGTAATGTAAGTAGTATATTTGATTAATTTTCTTGGTCCTTTAGGTTTCTCCTATATTTGTGAAAATTTACTGTGTTATTATTACTTTAGGTAGATATTTGACCATGTTTAGAGTATGTAATAAACAGTTTATTTGTCGTCAGACGAGTTTTCATGTTCTTCATACAAATGAAGCACTTTGACCTTAAGTTCTATATCTTCATGGACTAAAATGAGTGGAGTACTCAGTGTCAACATCTAGTCTTCATCAGACTTCACTGATCACTTTCGACACGAACTAAAATTAACTCATTTAACCCATTTTATAATTAAATTTCAAACTGAGCATATCGGTTAATGTTGGTTCTCTTGGCAAGTAACAGAAAAATTGCTTTGCAGTAACTGAAATAAAAATCACTCCTGAGCTGATATTGCTACTATGTACAAAGCAAAACAGAATAGGGCTAACGCCTCCAAATATATCAACTCTGAATTGTTCATCGGAGTGTTAAAGGTTACCGATTGATCCCCTCTTCATGACCATTTAATAAATAAATATTTTTAAACAAGATCATGAACCGGTCAATGCTAGGCTGTCGTTCGAAATCCGGGAACACTCAACGGCCGTTTGTCCTAGTATGGGACTCCCCACTAGTGGGCACCTACGATCTCTCGCACGGGACCCGAACCCATGACTTGTGGTCTCGCGCGTAAACGTTTTACCTTTGGGCTTTGAGCCGGTATCCGACGGTATTACTGTCTAACGTCAGTCGATCCACGATATTAAGCAACCATCCTACCTTGTCTTCGGTAAGTAACTGCCTCTTACCCGTCACGAATTAGCTTGACTTAACACGGCCTCTCACTAGAATTCCGAGAATTGCATGTCAAAGTCAGTCACTAGCGGGCGCATGATAATTATCAGTAAAGAGTTGTTGAGATGCGGATGCCCACTGCTGAGGTGTCCCGTACTAGGACGAAACAGTCTTCATGTGCCCCAAGGTTTTCAATGATGGTTTAACATTGGTCGGTACATGATCTCAAAGCTCACCACAAACCTATGCTGAAAATAAATATTTCATAAATAACCGTCTTATTCATCTAAAGTCAGTAAATGGTATCTCGTATGGAGGTTTGTGAACTAACATAATGAAACTACTTTTCAGCAACCAGATTGTATGCCAAGTCGGGAATTCTTTAGTTTTTAGTTTAATATATGCCAACATTATGGTCTTCTAGGTATCAGTGTTAAGAGCTACAGTTGATCAATCTCAGTTGATATACAGCACCTAAAGCGGATTATTTCGGTATTCCATTTCAGTTACAAGTTTTAGCGACTCTGGTTTATTACTTAATGTTAAAAGCCACACGAAAATGTAATTACATCCTAGGAACGAGCTCGAATGAGGATGAAAATGATATTCTGAACTTTACTGCTAGTTGCACACATTACTCAAATTTCTCTATTTTAATATAACGATGACCCTCAGAACCTCGGAATAGTTTTTTCATCAATAGTATAAATATATCTCAAAGGAAGTTAAACTTCACTCTGGAATATTTTTTCTAAACTATCTACTCATTTTCTTCACGACCAGTACTGAAAATATAAGATCATTGCTAATGACAGATATTTAAATATAGCACATCAATAATTACCATAATAAGTTAACATTTAAAATATTTGCAGTAATTCATCCGTAGTAACCACTGCTATAAGTAACCCGTTTGATAACTTTAGAGTTATTATACTTGTTTTTATCGGTACTTTATTCGTAGTATTTTGTAATTTTACTTGCTGACAACAAGCGTTTAATAAAGAAATATTCAAAACTAAAATTGCAAGATCAACACGTGATATCCTGAAGTAATGAGGCGTAGGAAAGAACAAATTATTCAACTATAATTGGAATATTACTTTTGATATCCAGAGATTGAAACTGTTATTGAATAGTTCTAGTTTATAATGATGAAGGTTATGTACAATTTGGTTTTCTAGTTTTTACTCCTTCTTGAATGGTTCTGTCAACGTAAACCTATATATATATATTAAAATCGCTTTTACTTAGAAAATTGTATGACAATACCTACGGTAACGGTAAAAATGGTCCCAATCGATCTTCTATGTGTTTAGTAGCAACATCATTTTTACTCTGTAAACGAATCTTTAACTTACACTGGTTTCCTAAATTCTATGAAATGTAAATTGCTACATACTACTCATAAGTTGGGAATCATGTAGGGTTTCCAATTCATTTGAATATCTAAAACTGGACTAGTTCAATTCAACTCTTAGTTTGATAAGTTATTATTCAAGTAATTTTCCATTTTAGTCCGATCATACAAGCTATAAATCATTTGCACTACGTATATTTAATGTAGATTTCGGTTTGATTGATTAATTAATTAATCTCTTAGAGCTGAATTTAGAAATCGATATATCCGTTATTGGAATTACATTTTATGTTCTGTAAACAGAGTATTTTCTTTACATAATGGTTTTTTTGACTGTTTTTTATTCTGATGTCAGAATAATTCACAGGTTCAAAGTGATGGACTGACTCCAGATCGAGATTATCAACGGCTTAAACATAAGAATAGGAGACATTCTCAGATTATTTCACCGAAACATTCAATTTATGGAAAAACTAAATTCACTTCCTTACCTACAATTGACTACAATCATAAACCATATTCAGAACTTAATCCCAAATATTTGTGGGGTGACAGTTCAGATGATGAAGATAGAGTGAATGATACTGATGATAACAATGTATCTGTAATTACAAAAACAAATAGAAATTACCTTTCAGAACAAAACTACAGACAACCTAGCAAAAACGAATGGACAAAACATCATTCCATTAGTTGAACTGTATACATTTTTTCATGAGATTCAAATATTTCATAGAAAAATTCCTCCCGCTGTTTTCAGTCTTAACTTGATTGTTAGATTTATACAAATGTATCAAATAACCTTGAATAATGTAAATTACACAGCTTTTACTGTGTACTTACATCACTCATGTAAAGTCGTCAGATTTCTGTCAACAATCTTTTCTAATGAATATATGTATTTTTCCACAACTACATTTCCTTAGATGTACTATGAATCTTCGAAATTTCAATGTTTAACTAAAGATTATCATAGCAAGGTAAAATATGAACTATACATTGAGCAGAAAAATTAAGCTTTTCACTGAAAAGATTTTCATTTACAAAATTCCTCATGTTTCTACCAAGATTTGAGGTAAATATGCATGTCTATGATAATTGGAAGTATTTGAATTATAGTATGAACTAAGAATCCCAGAAATAACGCAGTCAAGAAGTACTAGATAAGCACAAACGAATGTACTGTATTTAGAATTCGATATCAAGCAATGAACAAGTACAAAGGAATCATTAGTTCATTCAGACACCACAATGTCATTGGTGATGGAATATACAATATATAAGTACTATCAACCAGTATCAGATACAATAGATTTAATCATACTGGTAATTTATCTATGCTGTTTGAAAACAAATATCGTTTTCACTCAGTTACGCTTGAAGTATTTTAAATAGCCGTAGCCAACAAAGTGGTGTTATAATGTTTTAGATTGAAAAAAAATAAGATTTACACGACTAGTCGATGACTGAAGTGGTTTGCAGCATTTTAGATACCTAATGAATGCAGATAACAATAGAATGTAATAAATAATAATTAGCTTTCATCTTCCACATTATTCCTCCACCAATTCCAGTGACGGTTTTCTTAAGCATTTCTAATAACGTCTATTTTGAGAGGTGTTTTTCACTTGGAAAATTTGTGCAAATCAATCTGTATTCATCACAGGTCAGAATTTTTTAATAAAACTATGTACAAGCTATTTACAAGAGAAACGTACACTCAGACAATTATGCACTAACAATTATGATGTAATGTTAGCACAGATCAAATGATTTCTGCTTATTGTACTGTAGAATGTACCCATCAAACTGTTGGATCTAACAGAATGCAAAATATTTTGCCATTATCTTCTATTTCCGATTATTTAGAAATATGAAAAATCTACAAAAAAAATGTTGCAAACATAATAAATTATCTGAAATAATTGAGAGTACAACAAATTACATAATTGAGTAAGAACACACATAATCCCTTTAGTACATATGCAAATTGATTTGCCTACGGTTTTTTAAAATCTCGAAAGACTGGTTACAAACCTAACACGTCATAAAATAGGTCTTTTCAAATGTGTCGAGACTTTCAGTAAGACCTCTAAACGCTTAGAAGATAATGTCTGTCCAAGATAACTGCCACCTTCAGTGTCTTCGAAAAAAACATCAAGAAATACAGTTGATTTCGTGTTGAAAATATTCAACAATTAAGAAGCTTTGTAGACGGAACATTAAAGTCAAATAACTTGTGTGATATTTGCAATCAAAATTTAACTATGGTTGAGGCGTATTCGCATTTTATTGTCATTTACGTAATCAAATCCCATATTACAAGACAACTGAGTATTGACACTATATCATTGTTTTTACTTGACAGTCATGTGAATGAAAGATCATCACCGCATATATATCAATGAACTATTTACAACTTCAAATCTCAAACTTTCAAACTAATGAATTAACTTCACTTGGTGTTGTTTGCTTGTATATTCTGATTGTTGTTTAGGACTGCATTTGACCAGTCTGTTATTGGCATATATGCATCCTGTGCGGATTGTCTCGATTTTGCCTTAAGTCACAAGCTGTGCATGCAAAGAAGGATGGTGGCTAGAAGTGGAATCCAATTTGGGACTCGTCAGCTGGACTCACCTGAATCTTAAAGTTGATAATCACTACTGGATTCGAGTTAATGTAGTGAAATGATTAGTAAACTTATAATATCTCATTAAATTCATTGGTTCTAATTTATTCAAAGAAAATCAACATAGAGCTATTTAATCAAACTAAACTCATCATATTGTGATGAGGATTCTATATTGTACCAAAAATGTAAAATTGAATAAATCCACTAATTATAATAATGATAATCTAAAATTATAATTTGTTTACAAAGTTGTACGTGTTAGGAATTCCGTATGGAACGTAAATTGTGTTTTACACAAATTAACTAAGATTTGTTAGATTCACTATTTCTATTATTTTATTGTTAACAATGGAAAAGTAAAACAACTCTTCAGTCATTTCAGTGCCGCTAACATTAACGGTTTGAACTGTTTAGTTATCAGCTGTACTGATTAATCGCTGTGAGAGAACCAATATCATATAGTTCCATAGTTTAGTGCCGTTCAAATTCTGTTGATGACGTATATGAGTTATCCTCGTAGACGAAAGAATACAAATCATGCTTTACGTATGTCTTTACTTGATGGTAATGATCGATAGATTGACAAGTCGAACATTTCACGTTATACATCTTAATCATTACTATTGAGGCGACAAGTAAAGTAGGTGACGAGGACACAGATAGGGACAACTAAATATATTGAGAAATGAAATTACAAAATTTCTTAGTAAAATCTGAGAATGGTACATTACATGATTCATTCGCAAAATGTCCATCAATTGTCTCAGACTTCGTTGATACTTCGTCTCCATACCAATCACTCTTTGGTCTCGTTCACTTCTCTTTTGTCTTCTCAACCTTCTGCCTCCAGGCATTCCACTTCCGATTGGTGATTCATACTACTTATATCTGTCGACATCAGTAGTACACACACCACACTATTATTATTGTGTGTATTTATTGTACTTAAAATGATAGCATTGGTTTGTAATCCTAGTTTGTATATTTCTCCTAATAGTTTTAAACAGTTCACAATGGTAGAAACTTATATTAACAATATGGATATTTAGAACAAACAGTTTGTATTCAAAAGGAAATCTATCAACTACAATGAAAACAACATGATATGTTTCAACTTGTTTTATGTTTATAAATACCAACATTCCTGCACCAACTAAGCAAACTTCCATTGTAAATAATTATAAAAATGGTTCATGATAATGTTCCATCGAAAATGATAAACATTCTGAAGTACAAACTAAATGCTAGATTACAACCATAGTTCACATCAGTTTTGTAAATATTAACTTTCATAAGCTTCTTTTATTTATTCCTTAATGTAAATACCATCTTAACTATTGACTGATTTGCTTTAACAATGAGAATGACTAAATTCGTCTTATTTATGAAGAATCATTTACATGTATTGCCACTAAAATAAATGTCGGTGGTCAAATTTCTGCTGAATATAAACAAGTAAATAATTTTCTTGAAACCACTAATCAATCTAAGTTAGATAACCATCGAAAACCTAGACCAGTTCCTGATTTCAATCAAACTCAACAATTTGCACAGCTTCGTAACGAAAGGCAGTAATTGTAAATAATAATAAAGGGTTCCTATCACCGTGGATGTTATTCGTATTCTATAACATACATACACAAAGAGAGGTTCGTTTACTTATTCTCATTGGAAATGAAGGCTGTATTACTTATAATATGTATTCTCTCTGAAACATATCCATAAAAGAAATTACGCCAGCCGCAACAAAATTTACACTAAATTAACTGAATGCCTCCTCCGTTTACGCATACATAAACGTACATGCAATCGCTTGCATCAGTAAAAGAAGACAACTACAGATACGAGTTTGATTGGGAAAACCTCGAAATCCTGGATTGGTTGATTCCAAACTATTGAGAAACTTTCCGGAAACACAGAACTGAATTCAATCAGAATTCATTAGGCATGTCGTCATGGACCTATTTTACAGACCTATACAGGAAACGTCAGTTAATCATTTATAAATAGGTTAAGAGAATAAAGTGATCATTAGGAATACAGAGATAAATGCAGCCAACCAAACGTTTGAGAGTAACCAATCACAGATAAGCTAGTCAGAATGAGTTAATTTCTACCTAAACTAAAATAAACTAAGTCACACCTGTTGCTCATCTGGGGTTACTGTCGGTCCCGATCCCAGAGAAAGGAGGAGGGTTGGGCATGAGGACGGCATCTGCACCCCGTAAAGAAACAACCCTGCTAAAAACGCTAACCAGAACGAACATATTAAACCATTTCAACTGTGTTGTCTGAGTTGAGGTTTCTTGCTCCTGAAGAATTATGATGCCTCGTGGTGAATGTCATTCCCCGTTTAACGTCAAGACCAGAGCAACAATTTTAATTGGTGCACGAAATGTTCAGAAAATGTGGGAAATCGGGAGAACTAATTAAATAGCTATGGAAATGAGGGATACAAATAGGTGGTGCTCAAAATCAGTGAAACACATCAAATCCAAGCTAGACAGAAATGAATAGATTCAGAAGAGTTGCTTCAGTACTCAGATCATGAAGAACAAAGTGTAGCACATATTCAGTAAATTGCTTTGATGCTGTCCAAAGAAGCACAAAATGCACTTATTGGATGGGAATCTCATGAACCCACGATCATCAAAGTATCTCTCAAAGCAAAGCAGTAGGGAACTACATTGCACTTCAGCCAATGTAATACACCCACTAACGATAGCAATGACTACGGAATTGATTAGTTTTACGAGAGGCTGCAATCGATGATTAGCTAAGTGCTCGCTGAAGTACCTGGTCATCCTGATGGGAAACCAAAACACGAAAGTCGGAATGAACAACACCAGGTTTTAAGATATCATAGGATGACATGGAATGACTGGAATAAACAAACGAGAATGTTGAGAGATTTGCAAATTTATATGCATTCAACAAATTGGCTATAGATAATACTATATTCCCACAGAAAGCTACATGTGTATCAACAGGCCATATCACACAGAACAAGATCGATCATATTTGTACAACTAATATATTCACAAGATCAATTGAAGGCGTGAGAATCAGGAGACGAGATGACATATTTTACGATCACCACCTGATGATTGCTAAGGTGAAACTAAAACCAAAGAAGCATTGGATTAGTGGACAAACACAAATGCGAAGGTTCAATACTTACTTCCTTCGACATACAGTCGAATTCAACAAATTCAAGACCGCTCTCAACAACACGTTTCAAGCCTTACTACGTCTAATGCAAGATTAAGAAACTTCTATGGAGGTCAGCTGGAAGGGGATGACAGAAGCACCAACTTCGACGTGTCAGGAGGTTCTAGGCCACAACAAGCATCATCATAAGGAATGAGTCTCTTTCCAAACACCGGACAAGATTTAAGAAAGAAAGATAAGGAAGACAGCAATTAACAGCAGTCAAACAAGAACAGAGAAAGTGAAGGCACAAGCTGAGTTCATCGAAGTAAGCAAGTAG